ATATGGTAGATAAAACTTAAATATACCAATAATTGTATTAAATATAAATAGACTAAATATTCTGATTGGAAGATTTACACTAGATATTTTTAAAACGTATATGGTGCTTATAAGAGACACATCTTAAATATAAAACTAAAGAAAGATGGAAAGTAAAAGGATGGAAAAAAATTAACCAAAAGAAAACTTATTTAGCTATATTAATATTAGTAAATTTTAAGTCAAGAAGCTTTAGTAGAGATAAAGAAGGACATGACACAATGATAAAAGAATCGATTCGCCATAAATGATATAAAAATTTTGTCTGTATGTACCCACAACATAGTTTGAAAATATATAAAGCAAAATGAGACAGAAGTAAGAAATCTACAGTCATAGGAGGAACCATTTGTTCTGACGTATATAAAACATGGCATCTGACAATGACAGAAGGTACGTTTTTTCAAGTGTGCGTGCACAATTTGCCAAAATCAACCTGGATCATATGTTAGCTCATAAAACAAGCTTCAATAAATTTCATAGGATTTTATCTCATTCATAATATATTCTCTTACCACAGTGGAATTAAGGTAGACATCAATAACAAAAGGATAATTTAGATTATCTCTAAATGTTTGAGAATTGAACAACACACTTCTGAATAACCCATAGGTCAAAGAAGAAATCAGAAAGGAAATTAGAAAGTATTTTGAACTGGATTATAATGAAAATGCAACATATCAAACTAATAGGATCCTCAAGGAGCAAAGGAAATGAAACAACATCACGTACCTGTGCTACAAGATAGAAAATGATGAATGTCTTTCACCGAATAACAAGTAGACCATTACTGAGGTTGGGAGGTTGGAGCAATCATGTGTATCTCAGTGGTGGATCAGAAAAAGCCTCAGAAAAGTGGTCAAATTGGAGTGGGATTTTAAAGGACAAATATGATGAACATGGAGAGCTGTAGGATAGGGGCAAAACAAAACTAATGGGTTGCAGCTCAAGTTGTAATTAGAGGAAATTAATAAAGTTAAAAAGCATTACTCTCCTAAATACATATATTATAAAAATAAAAATGAAAAATAATTTATTTAAATATCCCTCTCAAGAAATTAGAAACAGAAAAGCAGATTAAACCTAAAGAAAGTAGAAGCAAGGGCCAGCCCAGTGGTGTAGTGGTTAAGTTTGCTTGCTCTGGTTCGGTGGCCTGGGGTTTGTGGGTTTGACTCCCAGGCACAGACCTACACACTGCTCATCAAATCATGCTGTGGCGGCATCCCACATATAAAATAGAGGAATATTGGCACAGATGTTAACTCAGGGACAATCTTCCTCAAGCAGAAAAGAGGAAGATTGCAGCAGATGTTAGCTCAGGGCCAATCTTCCTCATCAAAAAAAGACGGAAAGAAAGTAGAAGGAAGGACATTAAAAAAAAGAGATTCGAGGTTTGGAAGACTCAATATGGTAAATATGCCAACTCTCCCCAAACTGATCCATAGATGCAATGAAATCCTGATTAAGATGTCTAGAGATCTCTTTGTGTGTGGGTGTGTGTAACTTGATAAGGGCTGGTGGCAGGGATGAGCCCAGACAGGTATAATTGACAGAAGTAGACAAATCAGCAATCATAGCAGCAGCCATTTGCTATTATAATAAACTCTATAATAGGAGCCAGATCAGATGGCCTTGTTGGGGAATTAGAAGTTTATCTTTAGAGTGAATAGGGAGCAACGACGTGTTTTTAAGCAGAAAGCAATATGCATTGCATCGTAAGAAAGATCATATTGTCAGTAATGTAGGGGAAAAAATGGAGTCACAGAGTGAATTTACAAGGCTGTTGTAATAATCTAGAGATATGATGGTGCCTTTAAATGGAGTAGTGGCAGCAGGAAAGGAGAGAAATGGACAGATTTGAAACCTATTAAGTAAGTAGAATCTACAAGTCTTGTTGATAGATTGAATATGTGTGAACTGGCAGAGGGAAGAGTCATGGATAATGTCTAAGTTCTTAATTTGGAAAATGGGTAGAAGGTGTTGAATTTTGAACACTATAATCATAGTTTTGTGACTTTCTCCTGCAGTGCCACACAGTCCAGAAACAGGAATAGAAATTATGGTTAGATTTGCCTACTAGTAGAGACTGATAGAAATGTTGGAAGGTGAAGAAAACCAAAAATTCTGAGGTTGTAGAAAATGCATGACTAAAATGCACAGCTAAAATAATTGACCATGAGACCTAGGCTAGTTTCAAGGCCAGACTAGCGTGTAGTCTGAGAGAACGGAGATGTGTCAATTGGAGGTTACAATGAAGATGAACAATGAGTTCAATGGGAGGAAAAGTTGTAAAAGGACAGATTATTTCAGAAAAGATTTCAAAATTAGAGATTTTAGAGGTAGTGTTTTTCAACGTATGTTTAAGTTTGAGATATAATTTAGTCTGAGAATGACTGAGTTACCCTAGGAGGCCATTGGAATCAAAAAGGGGTCAAAAAATTGTGAGCCCTGGGTATTAATGGTTTATATCTATGGATGTGAAAGACTCCAAAAGCGATTGCAAAAGATAAGAATAAGATTGAGAGGGAAACACCACAATTAGGAAGACACAAGATTTTTGGGGGAAAAAAATCTGAAAACTGAAAAAGTTATGAGTTTATTGATAACAGGAACTGTGTTTCATTCATTTTTATGTCTTTCATGTATATAGCACATATGGAACGTAGCAAGTACTCAATAAATATTTGCTGATTGAACTGACACTGTTACCCTTCTGTCCTCAGAAATTCATATTTATACATGTTATGCTAGATGACTATTTCAAATTGAGAGGTCAGGCGATGAAGAAGTGATAGATATATTAACTTAACAACTGAGTGATGAGAAGATCATGGAGAAGAGCTTTCCAGGCAGTGCAAAGATCCTAAGGCAGGAACAAGCTTGACATGTTTGAGAATCAGAGAAAGCTTGAGTAGTTGTAGTGCAGTAATCAAAGGAGTAAAGAATGATAAAGAGAGGTTAGGCAAAGGCCAAACCATGTAGGGCCTTATAGATCAGGGAAAGGAGCTGGGATTTTATTCTGATTGGGATGAGAAGCCATGGAGGGAGGAAATTAGGAATGAGTCAAAATTAGATCCTTTTACTCTGATCCGTTGCATTAACATATTGTATGTCTTCTCCAATCTGATCTCCCACTACTACTCTGCGCACACCCTTTATTCCATGCAAATCAGGCTACTCATCATTTCCCCAAAGTTTTATTTTCATGCCTCTTCACCTTTGTTTGTGATGGACTCTCTACCTGGAATGTTCTCTTGCCTCTTGCCTCCGTTTCCAAATTCTAGTCATCTTCAAGGTCAAGACTAAAAAGCTATCTACTCCATGCTTACATGACTTCTTCCCTAATTCCCATGGCCAGAAGCAATCTCTCCTTTCTATGAACTTCCATAACTTCCTGTTTCCTATCAGGAACATGTGCTTCCTTTAGGTCAGCCAGAGATTATTTTTTTCATTTTAGTTTTATCTAATTATAATAAAGAATGTATCATCTATATTAAATCACATTCCCCTTGTTTTTCTCTTACTTCATAAGTCATCCATTCTCATCAACTTTGCTGGATCCTTCTCCTTTTCTGGACCTCTAATGCTGGAAAATCCAAGGCCTAGTCCTTGAACTTCTCTATATACATTCACTTCCTGGATATCTCACCCAGTCTCGTGGCTTTAAGTACTATTTATATGCTGATGACTCTCAAGTTTATATCCCCAGCCCAGCCTCTTAACTGAACTACAGACTCATGAGATTGCCAGCTCGACATCTCCAGTTGGATACCTGTCATCTCAAGCTCAACATGCACAAAAAAACTCTTAGTTACTTTACACCCCAATCCTATTCTTACCCTAGTCTTTTCTACTCCCAGAAAATTGCGCCATCATTCATCCTAGACTTTTATAAAAGTCTCCTAATTGGATTCCATGCTTCCATTTCTCCCTACAGACAACTCTCTACTCAACAGCCAGAGTGATCTTAAACAGATTATGTCACTCTCGTGTTCTAAACCTGCAACAGTTTCATATCTTACTTAGAATAACATCCAAAATGTCTTACCATGGTCACAATGCCCCACACAGTCTGGTCCCTAGCTTCCTCTGACTGCATCTTCTACCTCTTTTCACCTTACTCAGTCCAGTTCTGTCATACCGACCTTCTTGCTCTTCCTCAATATACCATTACTTCCTCAAGGCCTTTGCATTCTCTAGGATCTTGGCAATCAGTAAAGGTAAGTGAGGTAACCTTGCATACAGGTATAGTAGATTATTCATCTTTGTTTTTCCAACATCTAACTTAGTGAATGGTATATAGTAGAACTCAAAGGTGTATTTGGATAAACAATAGCTCTCTTTAAAAAAAATGGAGATTTTAGTCAACTATATGGGAAGAATATAAGTCTACATTGTGATGTAGTTGCCAAAAACATCTAATGTTACCTAAGCCTGCATTAACAGAAGAGTATTGTTTTGAGAAGGGTAGGTTCTAGTTCTTCAGGTCAGACCTCTTCTGGAATGTTGTATTTAGCTCCAGATATCACATATTAAGAGGGATTCTGATCCACCGCTGCATTTCAGACAAAGGTTATTTTTCAGAAGAGGAAAAACAAACTGGTGAAAGGGCTGGGCTATGTTCTGTGAGGACACATGAAAGGAAATGAGAATCTTTTGCTTGATGAATACTTTCTTGATGACTGGGGAGGAGACATGAAAGCTCTCCCCAGACAGTGAAGAGTCTGCTACATGAAAGAGAGGACTATGCTTATTCTTGTTGGCTCTAAAGGAAAGAACCAGTGGTAGGAGGTTTCAGAGGGAAGCTTTTAGTTCAGCTCAAGGAGGAAGTGCCTACCACGGTTTTCCACAAACCAGTGTTCTGCAAGGCAAACAAAAATGTCTTGTATCTTTACTGCAGGATTTCTCAGAACCTTCAACATGCAAATGTTAAGAAGATATAATATACTTCATTTCCAAAATTTATTTGTCCATAGAAACTTTTATTCAAGGAACACTGTTAGCATCTCTTAAAACAATATTTCATAGAACAGATTGAGTTAAAGCTGCTCAAAAATGAACAGAATATCTTCTAAAGGAGTAAGGTCGTGTTCCTACCAAGATATGTGAGGGTGGTGCTGCTGTCACTTCAGTACTTCTGAAACTTTAGTCACTAAAACTAAAGTATATAATTTTTGGGAAACTGGAGCAACTTCTCTTACTTGTTACGTTTACAATGTGAGATTCAATACAGTTGTAGATGAGAATAACGGGGTAAAACCAATGGAAATGAGGCTCTCTAGTATGGTGGTCCTGAACTTTTTTCCTTAGCAATACACCATAATGACATTCCTGTGTCTGTCCATTGACTCATTCGTTGTGTGCAAGGGAATGTTTCTCACCTTTTCATTAACACAAAAACCCTTCATGTTCTACCACTCCTCCCCTCCCCCACAGATTTTGATAGGATTCTCATATGGGACAACGCCCCCCCATTGAGCACTGTCATTTTAGAAGCTCAAATCTAGAGTATTAATGTAACTTTTTTTGAATAAACAGGGGCTTCCCAGGCCTTAATGAAGAAATGGAATTTAAAAATTATGGGAGAAGGGAAACAAGAAAAATTATCAAAACGAGCAACTACTTTGAGGCTGAAGGGAGTAATAATAAAAAAGGAAAATGGATTCATAAAAATATTGTTATTATTAAATATTTGCTGCAATAAGCAAGACATGATGTAATAATAAGAAAAAACTGGGCTGACGCTATTGAAAAGGCAGGGCTGGAAAATTACAATTAGTCTCTATACAACTGTCCCCAGGAAGGCAAAATCCAAGGCTGAAGCATTGTTTCCTAAGAAGAACAGGCACCACAGAGGAATGGTTCATCAAGATTTCTGCAATTGCTACCTGTTCCTGTTTTCCAGAACCATGTTTGTTTACCAATGTTTACTATCTTTAATTTGATTTCCAAAGATCCATCAGTACTGAGAAAGTGGTGTTTGGGTTAGTAGATAAAATACTGTAATTATTAGAAAGATATATCTTCTCCTGTGTATTAATAAAATGTCATTCTGTCTCCTACCATCCATACTGAAAAATTTCCTCAGGTCTTATCAAACCTGGATAGCTGACAAGCCAGTCCCCAGACCAGATGACACCAGATGTACCAATTTTTAAGGTCCTGTGAATAGTACAATTACATCGCTTATGAAGAAACTTCAAATACTGTTTCTCTGTTATTCTGCAATTCTGTCCCTAAATCAGCACCTCAAAAAGTAGGATCATCAGTTCTAAACAGCAGATAAAAGAATTCTCACAAACCTTTGCTTACCCACAGAGACCAATCTCAATTATACATTTGTTTTTCATGGCCATTTGCAGGCAGTAGGCCAGCTTCAGCAACACTACACAACGTCAACTGAGTTCACTGATAGGTGGGAAGACATAGAGTCTCAGGGTCTTGCTCTCTAATGTACTGGAAAACCCAGGCCTAGAACTGCCTCTGTCATGGGAGAAAAGTGGAGGAGATCAGCTCAGACATGCTGCTACTTCTCTCCCCTAACCAAGCAGGAGAAAAAAGTGGTTGATGATGGGTGATGGCCAAGATCAAAGCCAAGAATTGGAGTCTGGGCAGAGTCCGGGAAGCCATTAGAGCCTTGTCTTCTTCGTCTCCAGGTTGATCATGTTCCCTTGGGTATGGGGAATCTGCTTATCTGCCGGTCCCTGAATATCCTCTGGCTTTAGAGGAACATAGTAGTAGCCCATGACGGAGAAGATCAGGCAGACCACCAGCAGGAGGCAGGAAAACAAAATGAATTCGGCCCACTGCAGGAAGAAATAGAAGAATATGGAGAAACCTGAAACTAAAGGGATCTTCGTAGGATGAGGACTGGGGAGCAGATTGACCCAGGGTCACCAGTTTAAGAAGAGGTTTTCTAGAATAAGACTGGGTTCACTGGCCTCTCCTCACATGGGCCTATGGTGGCCATTTTTGCCACTTTGTGTGTCTATTTTCATGGCAAAATCTGTATATATCTAACCCACCTCATGTGACAGCACTGAGTGGGGAAACCTTGGATAGACACAAGCTCCTGCTTCCCTTAGATGCATACCTGTACCAGGCCACCGAACTGTGCCACAACAAGCACGATGATATTGCCAACTGCCACTGTCAACAACCAGGCTGCCTGGAGTACAGATTTCATGCTGGAGGGAGCCTAGAGGGGACAAAAGTTTGTGAGTGAACTCCCTACGCCACTCTCATGCCCAGTGCATCTATTCAGAAAACTTCTCTCACAAAAGCTTCTAGATTCAAACTTCCCCCACAAAGTTCAACTTTGGTAATAATGTTAACAGTAATAATAAGATAGAGTTCTTAACTAAATATTTTAATTCATTATATCATAAAATCTTCATTACAACCCTAAGAGATAAGTTCTATTAATATTCTTATTTTATACATAAAGAAAAATAGCATTAGAGAGATGATAATTCACTTGCTCAAGGTTACACGATAGGTTATGCAGCCAAAATTTGAACATGGGCAGTTTGATTCCATTGCTGTTATTCTCAATCTGTAAATATCCTTTTCTAGATCCCAAACAGCATAGGCTACTATGCTGCTCTGCCATGATCCTGGGAGTCAAGATGACTCTCTGTTCAGGGTCATAGATAAGAAATCTAAGGCCAAAAAATATGGAGGTCTTGCCCAGGGTTACATATCTCTTTACGGCAGTGCCAGGATCAAAACTTACCATCTTCTAAGCAATATCTCCACCTCCATGCTCTATTTGCAAAAACCTACCTGAGAATAAGAAAACTCGAGTCCGGTGACAGAGAACATGACCTCCCCAGCTGTAACCAGGGCATATTGTGGTAGCTGCCATGCAACGGACATTTTGTTAGCTGGAATGTCTTCCATCTTCCAGGCCTGAGGACCTTGATTGGTGCGCTTAGTGAAGAAAAGAAGAAAAGGGCATGTCAGCAGTCTCAAGTAAACATTCTTGACCTACAGCATTCTGTGATCTTATATCCACCCCCTCTTTTTTACCCTCAAGAGGTTAAGGAATTTCTACACAATTTCAGTTTTTAAAAAAATTCCTTTTGGTAACATTGCACCCATTTGCCTGGATTCAGTCAACCAGATACCATTACCGACAGTGTCCTTAAAGGGCAGAATATTTTGATAATGTAGTTTGGATTCCCACCATTTTGACCTATTGTGTATTTTGATCCTGGCCAACATTTTACAAATAAAATGGCATCTGAGTTATACAAACACAATGAATTTTCAGAAAGCATGTTCTTGAGAAAAGTTTAATTCGTCATCCAATTTTCTATGTAAGTACAATTAAACCATTTTTAATAGTTTCCATTAAAATTGTTTTTTTACTAAAATTACTTTTATTGGAATAAATTATTTTCTTGGTAACCCTTACATTGAAGTTCTTGTTGATCAATTTTTTTAAATCCATATCAAATACCACCTGCTATTTTGAATTCTTTTTACTGGTCATTATTTTTTAACTTAAATCTTATACATTCTAATTTTGTCAACAAGATGCCATTTTTCTTTAAAAGTCTGGTCAAAAAGAATTTCTTGTTATTAATGTTACCAAATATATGTGATTCTACAATCTTTTTTTTTGTTTGTTTAAAACTACTTTTACTATATGCAGGTTTTTAGCTATGGTTGGTTTTATACAGATCGTGTCCACTAATATTTGTTATTATGAGTGGAATGAAATTTTTTTAATTGCATATATTTCTTGGAGTAAAATCATTATTTGGTGGTAGTATAATATCTAGTATAATATCTGGATAGGCAATGAGATAAAAATGGCAGAGTTAAAATGTCAAGGTCAAAAATCCTTAAAATCAAAAGTCTTTGATGTCCAAATGCCCTTGATTCTCTGAGTCAAAGGGCCATTAGTTTCAAAATACTGAAGTAAATTTTGCTTTAGTTGATATTGTGACTAATATCTGGGCATATGTTTGGGTTTCTCAGCCTAAGAGAAGACTATGACCTGAGTTTCTAAATCAAGATCACATACTCAAATACCCATAGGCAGGTAATTAAGTAAACAAAGCAGGCTGAATGGGAATGATGGAGACTATGGTGAACTGGACAGCATAGGCCCCAGCTAAAGGTACAGCCACCACAGCACCAGACAATTGACATGGTAATACTTGTTACAAAAATCTTTGGATTTTTGTTTTTAAGAAATGTTAGGAATCTAGCCTCTTATGTGAAATCTCTTGAATTTTAAATATTGTCAATTAATAATAATTATTATTATTTTTGTCAATACTTTGCAGGCCAAACAAAACAAGGCCATGGAAGGAACTGGGCCCCCAGGCCTCCAATTTACCATCTCTACTCTAGACGCTTATTAGAGTCTGGCATTCAGAAACAATATATATGACCTCTATCTTGAGCCACATACCAGAGACAGAACAAACGAAAAATGGAATAACACCAGGAATGCAAGTGTTATTGGTTGGATTTTGTCCCCCTAAACGTCATATGTTAAGTCCTAACCCCAAGTATCTGAGAATGTGAGCTTATTTTGAAATAGGTTTGTTGTAGATATAATTACTTAAGTTAAAATAAGTTCAGTAGGGGGGACCATAATCCAATATGACTAGTGTCCTCATAAGAAAGGAGAAATGCGGCCTTAGACAAGTCTACAGGGAGATCTCTATGTGAAGATGAAGGCAGAGATTGGGGTGATTCTTCTACACACCAAGGGACACTAAATATTGCCAGAAAACTTCTAGAAGCTAGAAGAAAGGCATGGAATGGATTCTTCCTCACAGCCCTCAGAAGGAACCAACCCTACCAATACCTTGATCTTGGACTTCTAGCCTTCACGACCATAAGATAGTAAATTTCTGTTGTTTAAGCCACTCAGCTTGTGGTACTTTGTTACAACAGCCCTAGAAACCAATACAGCGAGGTTGCTTTAATATGTGAAAATGAATTTATGCCGTATCAATAGAATAAAGGACAAAAATCACATGACTATCTTAATAGACACAGAAAAAGCATTTGACAAAATACAATCCCCCTTTATGGTAAAACAAACAAACAATTCAACAAACTAGGAATAGAAGGGAACCTAACCTGATAAATTACATCTATGAGTCGTAAGAGGATATCTGCTCTTACCACATCTATTCAACATTGTATTGAAAGTTTAAGCCAGGACAATTAGTCAAGAAAAAGAAATAAAAGGCATCCATATTGAAAAGGAATTAGTAAAGCTATCTCTATGCAGATGACATGATCTCGTATGTAGAAAATCCTAAGGGATCCACTAAAAAAACTATTAGAACTAATAAATTAGTTCAATAAGATTGCAGGATGCAAGATCAATATACAAAATCAATTGTATTTCTACACACTTGCAATGAACAATCTGAAAATAAAATTAGGAAAATGATTCCATTAACAATAGCATCAAAGGGATAAAATGCTTAGGAATAAATTTAACAAAGTAAATTTAAAACTTATATTCTAAAAACATTGTTTAAAAAAATTTAGGTCTTAAAGAAGACCTACATAAATGGAAAGACATCTCATGTTCACTGATCAGAAGACTTACGTTGTTAAGATAGCAATATTGCTCAAAATCACCTACAGATTCAATGCAATCCCTATCAAACGCCCAGCTAGCTCCTGATCCTAAGCTGATCTGAAAATTTATTTGGAAATTCATGGGACCCAGAATTGCCAAACCAACTTTGAAAAGGAAGAACAGCATTGAAGGACTCATACTTCTGGATTTTGAAATTTACTACAAAGTAACAGTAATCAAGACAGTGTGGTAGTGGCACAAGGATAGTCATGTGGATCAATAGAATAGAACTGAGAAGTCAGAAATCAGTCCACACATTTATGGTCAATTGATTTTTGACGAGAGTGCCAGCACGATTTAATGGGGGAAAGAACAATCATTTCTACAAATTTTGCTGGGACAACTAGATATTCACAAACAAAAGAATGAAGTTAACCCCCATCTCAAACCATACACAAAAATTAACTCAAACTGGACTAAAGACCTAAATATAAGAGCTAAAACTGTAAAACTCTTAGAAGAAAACATAGGCGTAAATGCTTAAGATCTTGGATTAGACCATGGTTTCTTAGATACCAAAAGCATAAGCAACCCAAGAAAAAATAGACAAATTGAACATCACAAAAATGAAAAATGTTTGTGCTTCAGTGGACACCATCAAGGAAGTTAAAAAGACAACCTATTGAATGGGAAAGATTATTTGCAAATCATATTTGACAAGTGAACTTATATCCAAAATATATAAAGAATGCTTACAACTCAATAATAAAAGAGACAACTCAGTTAGAAACTGGGCAAAGGATCTGAAAAGACATTTCTCCAAGTCAGATATACAAATAGCCAATAAGTACATGAAAAGATGCTCAGCATAATTAGCCATCAGGAAAATACAAATCAAAACCACAATAAGATACCATTTAACACCTACAAGGATGAGCTATAATTATAAGGACAGAAAAACAAGTGTTGGTGAGGATGTGGAGAAATTGCAACCCTTATACACTATTGGTGAGAATGTAAAATAGCGCATTCACTTTGGGGAAGTCTAGCAGGTCCTCAGATGGTTGAACATAGACTCATCACGTGACCCAAGAAGTCCACTCCTAGGTGGATATCCAAGAGAAGCGAAAACACATGTCTACACAAAAACTTATATATGTATGTTCATGACAACATTATTTATAATAGTCAAAAGGTGGGAAAAAACCAAATGCCCATCCACTGATGAATAGATAAATAAAATGTGTTATATCCATACTATAGAATATTATTTGGCAATAAAAAGAAATGAAGTACTGATACATGCTATAACACGGATGAACCTTGAAAATATGCTAAATAAAAGAATCTTGACACAAAAGGCCACACGTTGTATCTTTCCATTTATATGAAATGTCCAGAATAGGCAAATTTATGGAGACAGGAAGTAGACAAGTGCTTGTCCAGGTTTAGGGGGTTTGGAAGAAAACGAGAAGTGACTGCTAAAGGGTATCGAGCTTCTTTTTGGAAGGATGAAAACGTTCTAAATTACACAACTCTGTGAATATAATAAAAACCATTGAATACGTATTATTGAAAATATATGGGCCGGCTCTGTGGCCGAGTGGTTAAGTTCGCGCGCTACACTGTGGTGGCCCAGGGTTCGGATCCTGGGCGCAGACATGGCACCGCTCATCAGGCCACGTTGAGGCGGCATCCCACATCGCACAACTAGAAGGACATGCAACTAAGATATACAACTGTGTACAGGTGGGGTTTGGGGAGATAAAGCAGGAAAAAAAAAAGATTGGCAACAGTTCTTAGCCTAGGTGCCAATCCTTAAAAAAAAAAAAAAAAAAAAGGAAGATTGGCAACAGTTGTTAGCCCAGGTGCCAATCTTTAAAAAAAAAAAAAAGAAATTCTCTCTGTATTGAATGTTAGTATATTTAAAATCTTTGTACTCTTTAAATGGGTGAATTATCTGGTATATGAATTATGTCTCAATTAAGCTGTAATAAAAAAATGGCATACCAAAGATACCAGGTTATTAAATTAATTAAAATAAGTAAAACTTTACAGATCATTCTCATCATAGGTCTGGAAATGTTCCATCATTTCTTATTCACTACCTTTTTCTTATATTTAATACAATGCCAAAAGTAATGAGATAAAATTAGAATCAAGATTGACATCAAAATTAAAATTCAGAGGTACCTTGCCCTGCCCTAATTGCTGAGACAATTGCTTTTGAGGGACCACAGTTAACTGATCCCCCTAACTTTGTGTAGTGATTGACATTTGCTACCAGTCTTGGTATTTTAGACTATGACATGCTGGCAGATCAATTTCCAGGGAGCTATGAGACTCGCATGTGGAGTCAGTCAAGAAGACATAAATGATCTTTGCTTTCTTGGGGACGTAAAGAGACTGGAGTAGACCACGTAATCTTATAACAATGGCTCAAGATAAATTATGTTTCCCATGACCCAAGACCCTGTGCCTGCTGCCAGTGTTATCTCTTTTAATGTGCCCTATGGAGACTATAGTGGGCCTTCTAAAGTCACTATAGAATCTATCACGTTACACTAAAAATAAGTATGTGATCCTGTCTTGCAACAGAGTCTACTTTGGATCCCAGGATAGATACAGATACAGATGTAGATACAGATACAGATATAGATACAGATCTATGGAAGGAGAGAGTAGAGGTGGCCATGAGCTACTTACATTAGCGATAACAAACAGATAAGCTGCACCAAAGTCTAGTAGACCCAAATTCAGTGAAAAGTCCTTATCTTTTGTTTGACAACGCATCGCGGGGTATCTGGAATAGGAGGAGTTTAGATTAGAATAAACATCGCAGCTTAGTAAAGCACTCCTCTCTCCAGGGGAAAGAGTGATCTCATGTCTACTCATGGTGAGTTCAGCAGCAAAGCCGCCATTTCTTTTGAAAGAGAGAAGTCTCTAGAAGTGAATTATTTTCATGCCAGGTTTTTCTGCCCCTGATCTGAGCTCTTCATTTCTTGTTGGGTATTTTCTTTTAACCTTAAATATGAATAAGGAAGGCACAAATCACCTTCTTTTGTGGACTTCAGGCCCTATATCTTCTTATCTAAGTCTTAGGAATTTTTTTCATCTAAGTCTTACAAATTAGCAGAACAGCATAAAACAGTGAAACTGAAAGGATAAGCTTGAAGTGATGAGGTGCCAACAGGAGGTACCAAAGGGTAGGAGTGGGAGCTAATAATAAACTTTGCAAAATTCCCAGAGATGGGCTTTGGTAACTACACAGCATGGCCTTCACAGCAATCATGATTTCAATATACCTGTGTGGAAAAAGGTGAGACTGAGGGAAGGAGGCAAGGGTTGAAAAGAGCAGGAGTCTGTATATACTCAAAATGAGCCAAGATATACTTAATCCCCCTACCTCTATGCAAAAAAAGACATTTAAAAAACAATTGTTGATAAAAGTAAAATGTCCACAAGGGTAATGCTCTTACTCTCCTCTTTGCACAGTCCTATAAGCAGACACACCATAGTCTTCACCGACACTGAGGGAGATATCTGCACCCAGGGAGATGTTGACCTCTTTATGCAAAGTGTTAACGAACCTAAGGGTAGAGACAGTGTTACAGATCAGACAAACCGTCCCAAACAGGGAGACCTGATAAAAGGATAGAGGCCTCTTCTGTTTTGTTTACCACTATATCCTCAGTGCCTAGAACAGTGGCTGGCACAGAAAAGGTACATGATAATACAGTGTTAACTGGATGAATGAATGAACTCACATGTAAGAAGTAATCAGTAGTCTTAACTGTCCCTAACTTTCTCCTTCCTGAGGAATTAGCTTTCTATCTACCACACCCTCACCTGACCTCTAGCTGGGATGGATGCTATCATGATCACCCATGGCAGTCTGAGTTTCCTCACTAATCTAGCTGAGGTGCACCCAGTTTCTTTCCCTCTTATAGTGGTAGGATTCATCAATTGAGACTCTATTAAGAAAAATTATCATATATATAAACATATACCAGTATTTACATAAAACTGATACTTTATCCTCCTATAAATGAAATCTGATTTTACTTATGTAAAACCCAGACTCCCAACCCATGGTAGGTTGAGTTATCATTGTTTTGGAGTTCTCAGACAATCTTGGACCCTTCCAGAACAATCTTCCTGGTCTTCTGAAACTAGGCCCCTAATTGTCCTCTCAATATGGGTTTGGGGTACATTTCTATTTGGATAGCTTTTGTGTTGGTCTCTGGCCCATGGGACAAGAAGGGCAGTTCCCTCTAGAATCCTTAATGTTGATTCCTGGACTTTAGATAATCCTGCATGGATCTAGAAATTTCCCCTTTCAGCCCTTCCGGAGGTTTTTATGCCTCTCTGACCCAGGGAAATCCTATCCTCACTGCTGTCTGACTTATTTTGAGCTCTTTACTTTCTCTGAAGCATATTCAAAAGCAAATTATTATGACTGTTCCACGATTCAGGCTTTTCATTAAAAGTTCTCCTCTAAAGTACTATTCTCAGCAGCAACCATGTAATCTTGTTGGTCATAGGCATGTGCATCTGTCGGTTTCATCTCAGATTCCTGCCACAGAGAACAGGTGGCCTCTTTGGTGCTCCACCTCCAGGCTGTCTGAGAAGACCTTCAGACTCATCTGGATTCAAAACCAAGTCTTTAGACTCCAAATGTGTACCCTTACCACACCATGATGCCTCTACAGGTTTAAAATAAAAACTACACTTTTAAAGCACAGTAACAGTAAGAAATATTCAACTACCAACAATGAAGGAAAGATTATTTGCTCTCTTCTAAATTTCTCCCTGTTGATCACAGAGGAAAGTACTCAGCTACTTTCCTGAGAGCAAGATACATGGATAAAATTCAGCAGAAGGGATCGAGGCATCAGAGCACAAGGGGGCATACACAGATACAGGTCATCTTTGAATACCACATGGGAAAGCAAGCCTATCTGCCTCTCAGTCCTGGAAAATGCCATCTGACACCCATGCCCCTGACATTCTAGGAGAGAGAATCTTTGTACAAGACAAGCAGAATATGAGGCCTCTTCATCTGAAGCCCCACAGATCAGAAGAGACCCCAAATCCAAGAGAACTGTGTCTCCTTGACATCCAAACCTCACAGCTGTCGTCCCAGCTTTGTGGGATGTTTGTGGTTTGTTTTCTGCATCCTTCACCTACAACAGAAGAAAGTAAAAATCAGTTACAGCTGACAACAGAGAACCGATAATCAGAAAATTTGATCATCAGGCATATCCTTGGTAAGATATTGATCTAAGCCAGTCATCATACTCTAAGATAACAACTTGGACCCTAGGCCATTCCTCAACTTACCATCATGCTGGAAATACTTTTCCCAGATTCTCGAATGATCAGACTGTACCAGTTCCTCTCCTCCACAGAATGCTTCGTGTAGACAGACAAATTGTGATACTTCAGGTTGAAGTGGAAATCCTGACTTTTTGTCTTCAGGTGGAGTTTGGAGTAGTGTGGCATTTTCTGTAGAATGAAAAACCTATCACACTCACCTTCCACCCCATCTTGGACATCATTATCTCATAGCACCCCAGGGCAGATGACCTCATCAGATACTTTCAGCATTATCCTTTAACCTAGTAATTCCACTTCTAGGAATAGACTAGGAGTAATCAGAGGCAGCATAAAGATTATGAGTAAGGATGTTCATTATAGGATTATATATAATAACAAAAAACCTTAAATACCTATAAGGAAATATTCAAATAAACTATGATATATCCATAGAATGGAACATTATATGTCCATTAAAATCATGTTCTTAAAGATTATCTAAGGACATGGAAAAATGCTTAGAATGCAATTAATGTTAAGAAAAAAATCAAGGTAAATGCAGAATATAGAGTTTGAGCTCTTTCAAAGAAATAGTTTATTTATTCATTTATACAAAAATGCTCACTGTGATTATCTCAGGGTGATGCAATTATAGATGATTTTTATGTCTTTCTACATATTCCCCAACTTTCAACAGTAAATGTATATTACTTTTATTCTTTAAAAATAATATTTTAAAAGAAATTTTTAAGAATAGGTACAGTAACAGTAATGAAAATACACAAGCCAAACTCTTCCAGAGGATGTGCATGATTAGAAGGCAGTTTGAAATAATAATACAAATTACAACCTATTGAGAGCTTACAATGTCCCAGACACTATGCTAAACACTTTACATATAATACTTAACCTTACAACAGCTTATCACATAAAAATTATCGCCATTTTGCAGATGCTGAAACTGAAGTTTAGAGATAAAACAAGTTGTTCAGGGTCTTTATAGCAAAGGAGTGGCAGAACCAGGAATTGCACCAGGGCCATTTGACTCCACACATGCCTGCTCTTAACCACTACATTATGCTGCTGCTTTGGTGCATAATCTGAATGTATTTCTAATTCATTCCAGTCCATACCTCACCTGAAAGGATTTGATGGACTCCACCAACAAAGAATTGTTTTCATCTCCCAGCACCGTTACCTTCACCTCATCATCTGCCAGATTTAAGACTTGCAGGAAAATCTCTTGGGGACCTGGCTGGGGTGGGGCCATTTCCTTGAGATGGAGAACATATGTCAGAATCACCAACAAATAACCCTTCAGATAGAATGAGAATGCATATCACAGCCCTATCTCTGACAGCCTAGCCTGTCTAGTCGGGAGGACATAGCTTTCTCCCTCTGAAGAGCAGTTGGCTTAGAAAACTCAGAAGGCAGTTTGGAGGGTGAAACACTAACTCAGTGTAGCAAACACTGATGCCACGTAACAAACTCCATGCTTTTTGACTTGGCTGTGACCTCATACATCATTCCCCAAGAGTGGCTATGCAATCTGCCAGAAAGTATTTTTTTGAGTATCTGGTAAAGTATCATATAAGCCTGTGTTCCCAAAGAGATGGCTAGATACCTCTCTTTGGGAATTCCTTGACAATATACTCTGAATCACTCAGGTGGGAGGTGGGCCTCATTTTACATTGCCACTCTGCCCTTGTATCTACTCATTTGTCACAAATACTAATTACGCACCTTCTTTAAAACAGGTACTGTGTTAGGTACCAGGGAATCAAGATCAAACAACTCAGAACAGTGAACAATAGATATGAATCTTCCCTGATGGAGCTTAAGATTTATTGAACTCACATTAATTTTTATTTCTACAACTGCTGCAACTGCAAATGCCAGGCATGCTAGGATCATTCCAACAGCCATTTTCCTAAGCGATCTGCAGAGGAAAGGGAAAGACGAATATATCTCAACTTTGGACTCTAAAGGATAAAAGCTAAAACTCCTAAACCTACTATTAAAGACCTTTCCTAATTTGGTCCCAATTACTTTTCAAACTATTTCCTAGAACTCCCCTTCACACAGCCTTCTTTCTCTCTTTACTTAAGTCACGTTGAACTGTTCTCTGTAATGCACCACATTTTCCCACCTCTACTTTTGTTTATAATGGTCTTTCTATCCATTATGTCATAATAACAAAGTAATAGTAATACAGCCAGATTCATTGAACATTTACCATATGCCAGGCACTATACATTATCACCTCATTTTTCTCTTCTTCAGAAGTCTTTCTTGAACCTGGTGGCAGGAAGGACTCACTTCTTGCTCTACACTTCCTTGGCAGTTTGTTTCCCTTCTTAGGGCACTTAACATATTTCACCTTGTATGTGTTCTAGCTCCCTAACTAAACAGTAAACTCCTTGAGGGCAAGATTTGTGCTGTTACATTTGTATTGTACTTGATGCTAAACTCAATAATATCTGCTCAATAAATGAGTAAATGACAAAAGGCCATTTGAATATGGTAAAGTGATCATCAAAAGGAAATTGCTATTCAATCAGGAATTAGAGGAGGCTTGAAACCCTCCTCTGTTAAATTTACAAAGAATAACACTTCTATTTAGAATGCAGGAAAAGTAGTAATTAGAACAGTTCTATTCCCAGACTTTCCAGGTCCCCCATTTGTTTCATATGAACAACAGGAGATTTAAAGGGATTAGTTGTTGTCAAAGGCTTTAGACTTCTTTGAAGGGGCAACTTTCAAGAAGAAAGCAACAAGTTGATTTAGGAGCCTATTCTCACATAGTTTTGACTTTCCATGAAACTTAGATCTACCCCTTCAACATCACACAGTTAAGTCTCCAGTAATGGCTTGTACTCTCTGCAATAAGAATTAATTAGATCTAATTTCCATCCGCCAGTGTCAATAGGCATTTAGTCTAATATGGATAAACAGAAGCAGAAATTGATATATCAAAACAAATCATCACTAAATAGAAAAGTGCTGACACTGAATCTTTATCAACCTGGGCAAAGCCTGAGTCAGTTTGGAGCAACAGAGGCGTAGTGAGCACTTACGAGAACTTAATTCCACATTTGGAGATCAGACGGTAAATGACAAGGTCAAACAACGGGATGAAGATAAGAACCAGAAAGGGATTTAGTACCTGTAATACCATGGTAAAAAGGATTAGTTACAAGCATTCTTGTATCATGAGTGTGACCATGTGCTCTCATTTGCTCGTGTGCACTCTCTCTCACATCCAGACTCACTTTCATCATACTAAGTACAGAATGATTCCATGTCTCTCGAACCCTTTACACCGCCAAGACTCTGTTTCCCTCGCATAGCACCTTAGCTTCCAAATATCCCAAGGAACCAGTCTCATTCTGGAACCGTTTTTCTGTCAATCAGTTGGGAGCTCTTCTTTCCCATTTTCACTTACCTTCCCCAGTTCCACAGCCCCAGGAAAAATATCATAGCGAGGAGAAAGGAAGGAGAGAAGGAAGCATTGGGGATTGTTGAATAAGGGGTTAAAAAAAGAACTAGGAGTTAACCAATAAACAGAAATTCTGACTTCACTCCTCACAACAAAGTCTCACACTTTTCTTCGACAATAATTCCAAAATACTACCTTAACATGGAAAAAAAATCCAATGCTTACACTTTTCCTGTGAGCTCAAAACACTCTCCCTGGAGTTGGGCAGGAGTTACTCACTTAACAGAGAATGTGAAAGAGAAGTGTGGGGTTTAAGGAGAATATTTCCATCCCTATGTTTTTCTCTCCTCAGCATGGAAAACATAAAATTGTGACTGGTAATCCAGTAGTACAGGTAGGGGTATAGCTGAGCAAAGAATAAGCCCCCATGACTACAGAGGTCTCCTACCTGCATCTGGTCGGGCTGAAGCACAAAAGACCCCTGCAACATTATAACAAATTACATTTAGATGGTGGCGAAAGACGAGAAAAGCCAAGATCAACAATCTTGCTAATTAGCAAGTGAGAAGCATAAGACAAAATCCATCAGGCCTTTGGTTCAGGACCCCTGTCATGCTTGTAAGAGTATGTGGGGGAACAGACTGAGAATGGTGTCAGGATATGCTTGCTGAAGGCAGGTGTGCCTAAGGAGAAGATTCTTTTCTGTGTACTATGCTTTCATTATCTTGAGAGAGAACAGAGTCAGTGTGTTTTTATTAATCTCAGTAACTGCAGTTATAGGTGGTTATAAGGTGAAGTACAAGACATCATAGTTGGAGTGAACATTCCCACTGACGCACAGTCTTTCTAAAGTTGTTCTCCAAGGGGTCAACAAGAGAACAACCATGGTAATCCTGGACAACCAGAGGAAGGGAAAAGGTAAAATTCTATTTGGCAGGCTCCAAATAGACCGGCTAATAAGACCCTGGCATCATTCTACCCTGCCCTCTTCACAACTGAGATGGTAGAAAAACAGTACAATAATCTAGGAAGTGGAACAATTGAGAGCAGAGATGCAACTTTGAGTTTGCCAAAGAATGGAGGTTGGAAAAAGACATAACAATGTTTACACCTTTCTCATTCTTTCCATATCTATGTACGAAATATCCCACTTCCAGGTCCTCTGCTGTGACCCCTGCCTGAGAGACGGGGCCAAGTATGTGGTAGCAGCAATCAAACCTGTCCCTGCTGTGCCCCAGGCAGGCTCAGATGGAAGAAAACAATCCCCTAGCCATCCTCTCAACACTTCTTTGTATACCTTTAAACCTTTCCCCTCCTTATGTTCTTGATTTCTAAAGATAAGATTCTGTTTTTTATTTCTAGACCAGCTTTCTTTACTTTGCCTTCTCAGTACCTTCATGTTAAAGGCACCTCTCTCATGATCTTAAGTCAGTTATCAGGGAAAAACACAAAGAAATTAACTTTTCCTTAATATGGATTACAAAGAAAAAATAGACTTCTATGGAAAATCTCTTCTACTCACCAAATTCCCATTCATCCTGGTGGCTTGCAAGGTCCATCGTGAGCCCTAGGGCAGACAGATGCTATTATGAGAAATCCCTTTCTGTGAGAAGGAAGGGGCTGGAAGAAGAGCTAGCTTTCAAAAGAACTATTATTACCTGCTGATCCAAAAGAGCCCAGAACATGGGCAATGGGATATAAAGGAACAGTATCCTGGTCAGTGCCTTCACATCCATAATAAGCTGCTTCTGCAACAAAGGGGAAGAAGGAGCAGACTGAATTGCTAGATGTGGTTTTTTTTGCTCAGAGTAGAAATGCCCCAGAACAGTAAGAGAAGAGGTCAAATGCAGCAGGATGGATCAGTTTGGACATTGGGAAAGGTGCCATGGAGGCATAAGGTGTTTTTGCAGTTCCAACTTACTGGGTATTTCTCAGCTGCCCAGTCCAGCCAGTGCTGTTGCTTTGGAAGGTCCCCAGAACGGTTCTTGAAACGGTTGGAAATAGCAAACTAGGAAAGAGCATAGACATCAGAGAAGAGACAAGACGAAACCATCCCCTGCCTTTTCCAACTCATTATCCCTTCCCTCAAGCACACATACTTTAAGCCACTTACTCCAACTCTTTGATTTCATGAGACACTGAATTTCAGAATATTTCACATATAATTTTATCTAGCCTTATTTTCTGTTGGCAACATATATAATTACATTTCAGAAGATTTTTGCCAATTTAGAAAAGTGGTTATATTATTTTTTTTTACCTAATGTTTATGTAGAGGCACAGAGGAAGACTGACCAATCTCAGTTTGCCAAAAGGCACAGAAGTAGAACAGAGGTCATTGAGAAAAATGTGTATCCATGTTTGAAGGCCTGTATCTCAGCATTGCCTCTCTTTCCCTTTGATTGAAAAGGCAGGTAAACAGTTTATGGACTTACCCGGATACATTTGACAACTTGAGTTGCTATGTTTCCTTCAGGAGGTGGTTTTCTGTATATTTTGCTTCCCATTAAAAACACAACTGCAGTTGATACAAAAACAAGGTTCTTAGCTTCTCATTTAGCATATTCAGTACATCCACGCTAAGGACAGACTGCTGAAGCATAGGAGTGACTGGCAAATCTCGTAAAAGGAGGAAACTGACTTCACTTCCTGACTTTGGAGTTATAAACTTATGGGAGCCAAGAGCAGAATGAAATGGTCAATTGTTAAGATAGATAGATATCCGCTGAGACCTTCCTGTAATCACAGAAACGTAAGTCATCTCTAAATCCTCACGCTTCTTTCTCCATCTCTACATCTGATGTATTACCAACTGTATTGATCCTTTCTTCAATGTATTTCCCATCTGCCCCCTCTTGTATTGCCACCACTATGGATCTTGCTTAGAACCTCACAGCTTCTACCCTGGAATATCAAAATGGGCACCAATCAGTTCCTCAGTCCCTGCTGTCTTTCTTCTTTTATATGATGCCAAATTAAACCCTTGTTTCCAGGACCTACCTAATAAGCTCAAACTCCTGGCATGAAAGGCCTTCCCAAATCCATTATTATCCTGTAGTTATTATTATCTGTCGAAGGTTTATTATCACATGTAAAGTGTTAGGCATTTTATGTACATTAACGGATTTAACCTGACAAAATATGTACTGCTCTCTCCATTTTACACACGAAGAAACTGAAGATTAAAGAAATTAAGCAATTTGTACAAGATCACATAGCTAGAAAGTGCCAGAAACTGCATTTTTGACCTGAGCCCTGTCTGACTCAAAAATCTATGCTCTACCAGGGCTGGGACTGGGGTGAGCTGAGTGAGACACTCCCCTTGAGCACAAACTTTAAGAGAGTGCCAAAAATTCGGTAATCAGGATAAATAGTATCCTTGCCTCACTTTTAACCCATCCTTTCTCCACATTACAGTCAGAAACACCACCGAAAAATAAAAATCTAACAATCATTCCTCTGTTCGAAATCATTTTGTAGCTCCCCAATGTCCTCCTGATAAAATTCTAATTCTGTGGTGACTTAAAAGGCCCTTCTTTATCTGATTTCTGTCAGTTTCTTCTGTTTATCTTTCTCATTTATGCTCCAGGTGATCTGAATGCCTTTAAGGCCCTCGAATATGTCATGCTCTTTCACCTCCTAGTCTTACAGATCCCGTGTGCTATTTTTGTTTCACTTCTAATCTCTTCTTTGATCAATTGCTGTTAATCCTTTGGATACCATTTCTTTAGGCCAACCTTTTCTGACCTCAGAGTCTTAGTCAGACATTCCTTCTATGTGTTCCTATAGCTTTCTCTGTACTTCCCAGTTGTGACACTGATCATGCTATGTTGTAAAATTGTCTTTACTTGTCTGGACTATATAAGTTTTTTGAAAGCATGAATTCTGTAGCTGTCTAATTCACCAGTGTGACCCCAATACCTAGCACAGAACCTGACACATATTAAGCTCATTAAATAAATCTTTGTTGAATGAATGAATGAAAAAAATAAACGAATAAATTAAATTACAGTGAAAGGCAAGGGGATTGAGTTATTTATTAGTATCCAAAAAATTGAAGCAGCTAATAATGACAGCTAACACTTGTTTAGCATTTTGTAATTTATAAAACATTTTACTTATAGCATCTCTCTTGATCTTCATAATTACTCTGCTATGTAAATATTATTATTGTGCAATGATTCAGAGATACTAATGATCCATAATACTAATCAGTGGGAAACCAGGGAAATGTTTGGGGAAATGTTTGGCTTCAAAGGAAGAAGGAAGCAAGGAATGTATTATCATAGCTCTCTGGGAACAACACATAAACTTCCTTGGAATTGGAATTAGAATCTGAATATTACTATTAGCCCCACCCCTCCCCCGGTAGAAAAAAATCAGACTGAATATTGTGTTTCTGGGCTCTTTTTCCTCCATTGAGCTTTTTATGTGTTTGGACTGGATATCTTCCACGGGGGTGTCGCCCAAAGGCTCAGAGTGAGAACAGGTTTCCAGGTCAATGATTAGAAACAATCATGTCCAAGTTTCCCCTTAGACTGCACAAACTAACACACACATCACCCTTCCTCTTCCATTACTGGGTTCTTGGTGGTAAAGAGAATGCCGCAAGATCGAAGTTGCATCAGTTTCCACCTACTTCTCCACCTCCTCTTATTCTCTTTTCTCAAGAGCAAAGCTACTTTAAAAGGCCCAAAGAATTAAAAATGTCTTCCAATGAGCAGATAAATAACTATCAGATGACATAAGCTAATTTGAGAGAAGGAGTATTTTCTGTGCTTCCTGACATATTACAGTGTAGAGCAGTGGATTTCAGCCTTGATTACACATTAGAATCACCTAGACATTTAAAAAATTATAGATGCTCAGGGCCTATCCTGCAGAGATCCTGAGTTAACTGGTCCTACATGAGGCCCAGGGATCAGTCTTTTTTAAAGCTCTCCAGGAAACTTCTTATTAGTTATGTATTATGACCTTTTTTTTAAAGTTTCTGACTTCATTCAGTTAATTTATCTCCAATGTCTAGGGAAAATTCTTACAATAAGACTTACCTAATAGGGTTAGTGTGAGAGAACTGAATGAAATAGTTTGTGTGAAGAGCTTACATGATGCTTTACGTGTGGCAGGCATCAGTGGTTCTTAGTTTCCTCTGCCCCACTGCACTTACCAAGAGCTATCACCATAAGCAATCCTGGAACTCCAAAAGCCAGCGCGTAGCAGTCTTCCCCAAAACATTGCACGTCTCCTAAAGAAAAAAAAGCAGTAACCCTGAATCTTGAGTCTTTGATGTTCTATTCTGCAAGCTCAGCTTCTGAGCTCGTAGACATAGCCACCCTCTTTCCTCCCATCATCTAATTCACAATCCTTCTTTTGGACCAGACAAATCAAGATTATAAGAAATTCTCTCAGACTTTCAAGGCTTTATAAAAGGAGAGGATGGATAGAGGAAGCCTTGAACAGATTTTTGGCTGGCCAGAGTAAAGCCTTAAACAGGGCCCCTCAGGAAAGATCCTAACCTCTAAGCATGGGTGTGATAAAGGTAGAAATCAAGCTCCCTGCATTGATGGCGAGGTAGAAGACTGAGAAGTATCTACTCCGTTCTTCTGCCTGAAACAAACACGACAAATCATCAGTGCGATGTGCCTCAAAGCTCCATCCCCACCTTACATTCAGACTAAGCTGGAGGTACATACACAGAGACAGATTCAGCTATTGCCTCCACGGTGTCTGAGTATCATACCAGATATTTTAACACACACCTGGCTGGGCCCAGACAACATTTACCCATCTTCCAAACCCCAGTACAAGCATCTTTAATATTCTTTTACCCCTTTCCCTGGGCGAGATGATCATCCTGTACACTATGCCACTACTGTGTCCTATACAGATCTATTCTAATATTAATTTCTTTGCATTAAATGTCCGTTTCTTTCAGTAGGTTGAGAGTTCCTTTAGGGAAGAAATCATATCTTATTCATTACTATAATCCTCAGTACCTAGCATAGCACCTGACATACATTACAGACTCAATAAATGTTTATTGACTGAATTAATTAAGTGATTGATTGAGTTACATAATAGATTTTGTAGAATGTGTGGTAGGAATAGGACTAGAACATAGGACAGGGGAGTAAACTATTGCTCAAGCAGGGTAGTTCACCGAGTGCTTATGGGAAGTCTGCCACAGAATGTAAAAGGAAGTCTGTGGGCTTAGACTGAGTGGTGGAAACTTGGAAGTGGGTTTGTCCTATTACTGAAATATCTTTGTGGAGTAGTTATCAAGTAAAGTAACTTTTGAGTAGAGTTGCTGATGCTTTATTCATTGAAAATGACTGTGCTTCTTTCTGGCACCTCAGATCTTTTCCTGACACATTAGCACAATCTCTCCTTCCCCATTTTCTATGAACAGTGTGTTTTGCTTCCTCTTCTCATCTAATTAAACCTTATTCCACTCATCTATTTGTATAGTTCATTGTGTATAGAATTGCACTTTCCAAATTTGGCTATTTCTCCAAAGTCAGCAAGCAATTGTGATCTATGGGCTCCCAGAAAGATAAAGAATAGAAAATGATAACTCAGAAGGTCTGAAGGGTGAGAGAAACACAGAAAGTAAGAAGAGAGAGCAAAACCTGAAACATGATAAAGAGCTATAGAAGAGGGAATAGATGCATGAAGACAGCCAAGAAAGAAAACTGAGAGCAAAAGGGGGAAACCAGAAATGTTGGCTAACCTAAAAATAGACTATTTCCCTTGCCTATTTGTCACTGCATCCCTATATGAGCCCATTTTTACCTTATTCATGTGGGGTTTTTTTGTTGCTTTTCCCATTGACAGTGGAAAAGGGAATGACTATCCAGACAAGTTCATCTATAGAGACTCACCCTGTTTTATTCTAAATTGTCATTTTCCCCTTTCATAGACTCTCAAAGCTAGGGAAGCTTAAATCATCTCTCCACTCTTCATCACCTCCCATTCCCGAAGTGCTTACCACATTTCTTCTTAAATACCTCAAGTGAGAGTTTCACTACGTCAAACTGATTATTTGAAGTGTTTCTTTCCATCAGGCAGAAAGCTGATTTCCTATAGCTTTCACTCATTGTCCTCCAGTTAAATTACTGACATCCTCCCAATATCTATAGAAAGCTATAATATTCTCTTTAATTCTTATCTTATCTAGGCTAAACATCTCCATTTCCTTCAACCTTTCTTCATAAGATGCATCTTTTTGTCCATCCACCAACCGGGTCACTTTCCTTTAAACATGTTTTTCTCTCTATTAATGACAAGAACAAGCATTGAACATGACTCCTCAGATATGGTCTGACCAGTGGATTATTTCAATCCTGGAAAATGGCTACCTGCCAGGTGTCTCTTTTAATGTCTGCTCTACATTTTTGAATATACAGAAATAACAGGACTCTTACATGTTTTTCTTCAAACTGGTCTCCACCAAAGGCTGCCACGCAAGGTTTGATACCTCCTGTTCCCAGAGCTATTAGACTCAGGCCAATCAATGATAAGACTCTGAAATGGAGAGGTGAGGATACTAACCATTTTGATACTAAACACAGCTGTAGAAATGGAATATAGAGCTAAAGGAGAAAAAAACATGTATACAAGGACCACCACCACCCGCCTCACATTTCTACCCTGCAGGCACTTTCCACTTGCCTTCATTCCTAGGAGAGACCTAGGAAGACTTTTGGTCTTTATGACCCTTGAGCCTGTGCCAGAAAGTATGCATTGCATGGAAAGATTTTATCCCTGATGGCTCCATTTATCCCTTGTGTGCCACAGAGAAAAACAGATACTGAAGGAACTCTGAAGGTAAACACTGGTTCTCAATCTTATCTTAGTCAAAGGGACACTTCAATAGAAAGACATTATGAATTCTTATACCACATATCCTTACTAACACAAAATAAAATGTTAAAATTCATCTTAATTAATAGAAGTGTCACTGATTTTTGGTGGTACACCAATAAGGAGGTATCTTATATTTATTAAATTTCAAACAAAATTCTTAACTGAAAGGATAAATACATGTATAGGCACATTATAAGCATGAATGTGTATGACCTGCCTCTTGAACAACTGTAGTCCTCTCTACTGACTGAACAGACAGATATCAGAATCTATCAAATGTCTCTGGTCCCTTAAACATCATAGTTTAGGTAAAGAGGGATAGAGCAATTGGAATATATGGAACTACACACAAATGGAAATAATCCAAGCTTTGAATATAATTTCTACAATGTATTATAAGGAAATATTACAGACTTTTTTTAACCCTGGTAAAGTACAGATGTATGGGTGGGTGAACAGGTGAGGGAATATGGAGGGCGTATAGATTTTATTGATCGTCTTCGAACATATGAAGAGTTTTTACGAAGAGGATACTAACCAGGCATTCTACAAGTCCCCAAATGTTTAGTAAAAACAAATGAGCTCGGATAAAGTAGGAAAGAGTTAAACTGGTCATAAAAAAATTGTTTCTCTTAACCAATTTGGTAATAAAACTGTAAGTTGGAAAATAAAGGGACATCTTTGGTAAGAAAACAGAAAATCATCTGTAATGAATGCATGAGACATTTACCTGTCTAATGGAAGAAAAGTTCAGTTTATTCCATGATTTTACTCACGTGTGTACCATTTGTCCCCCCAGTATTGGTAAGGCACCCAAGGACTTGATCACATGGCCAAGCACATACACCAAGGAGAGATAGACGATGGTCCTGTTGAGAGAATTAACTCAGTCAGTCTATAAATAGAATTCAGAAACTTGAGTAGTACAGACAGAGTTCATACTGTTCTCAGTGCCAGGATAAATGGAATAGGAGGAAGAAGGGGTGGAGGAGGAAAGAAGTACCTGAGAAATGCAAATAGAAATAATAATGGTGAATGAAGTGAGCTAATTAAAGAAAGAGAAAGCAACTCTTTACCCGGTAGTGTCAGAGGTAATGGACATTCCCTTCAAGCTCCTTTCTTATACCTGACCTCTCCTTTCCCCCGACTCAGCCCACACACACACAGAGCATCCCGGCTCTTGTACAGATAAGTTAAGACCGGGATGGATTTGTAACAAGTGATGGTGTTTTAAGTTAGGAGAACAAGAAGAACAGGATGTTTTGACCTGAGGTGTCTTCTCAAGGAATGTCTTCGGCTCTAGAAATCGACAGGAGTCAAAGAATAACTCTAAGTAAACAGGAAAAAGGAATGGCTAACACAAAAAACTTTCTCTAAACCCAACCACTGGGTATATACAGAGGTAAAGGGCTCCCAGGTTCAGCCTGGTCACTTGAACACTTGGGTTAATTGTAATCCCCACTGCAGTTTCTTCATGGATAAGTTACCAAGCGTAAGAAAGCAGCCAGGGACTTTGGATAGACTGTCCAGTGACAAAGATCATGCAGTTGGGGGTCAGCCCTGGTGGCCTAGTGGTTAATTTCAGCATGCTCTGCTTCAGCGGCCCAGGTTTGGTTTCCAGGCATGGACCTACACTGCTCTGTTAGCAGCCATGCTGTGCTGGTGGCCCGTGTACTAAAAAATAGAGGAAGCTTGGCATAGATGTTATCTCAGGGCAAATCTTCCTCAGCAAAAAAATTTTAAAAAGAGATCATGCAGTTGTTCAGGATTTCCTTTTGTGTTGTTTTTTCCAAAAAACCTGAATGGCAAATAGGTAGTAGGAAAGTGAAGAATTCCAATAAGAACATATGTAGTGATATATACTATGAATGAAGGTATCAGAGAGAGGCTGGAGATGCCAGAAATCTCAGGATGTGGATTTCTCATTCTAAATGCCTAATCTTTCTAATCTGGCTCTCCAGGGAAAGGACATTAGAGGGTTTATAATGGCAAGTAGGGAATAAGAATTTGGGTGACTAATCAAAGGTTAATTAATATCAGGGGGAGGGGGCCTTTCACAAAAGGCTTTGTAGTGTCTTCTAGAGAAAAGTTCTGTTCAGTGGAATAAAAAGAATAAATAGAAAGAAGAGAATGAAAAAGGACTGAAACAAGTCCAGCCGTCATGAACCCAAAAGAGATGATCTACGCTAGATCGTCATAGAGAAAAAACAAAAGAAGTCTGAGCTAGAGAAATAGAGACTGAGTAGAGATCAGAGCAATATCATATAGTTGGACTAAAGGAATGAGAGAGTGTAAGTGGCTTAGAAGGAAAATAAGCAATCTTCTAGGTAAAAGACTCAGGGAATTAGTCTAGGAAATAAATATGAGAGAGGACACTAATGGCAGGAAACTTCAACAGAAGGAGAAAGAAATCAAGGAGGCCAGCCTGGTGGCACGGCAGTTAAGTTTACACATCTGCTTCGGCAGCCCAGGGTTCCCCCATTCAGATCCTGGGTGCAGACCTACTCACTGCTTGTCAAGCCATGCTAAATCATGCTGTGGCAGGTGTCCCACATACAAAGCAGAGGAAAATGGGCACTGATGTTAGCTCAGGGCCAGTCTTCCTCAGCAAAAAGAGGAGGATTGGTGGTAGAAGTTATCTCAGGGCTAATCTTCCTCAAGAAAAGAAAAAAAAAATCAAGAGAGACTTCGAGATTCTGCCTTTGAAATGGGGTCATTGGGGTCATTGTAATCCCAACAATAAGACATAGAATTGTGTTAGATAGATTTGACCAATCTTCCATTTACAGATGAGGAAAGTGAAATCCAGGGAGGTCAAAGGTAATTCCTAAAGTGGCATTCTAATTAGTATTAGGGTTAGGTCTAGAATTTCTACTTTCTGACTCATAGCCCAGTGTTCCTTCAGTTTTATCATGAAGAAGTTAACGTGGAAAAAGGAAAGGGAAGGGGAAGAAGTTTTAAATTTTATTTTACCACAAGAGCCATTTTTATTTAGAGTTTAGGAACTAAGGAGTACGTGCAGTGGTGGCAGAGGAAGAGAGTTAGCACAAAGAGGGTCAGCTCTTACATGACAAAAAAGGTGGGAGAGGGAAAGGATACGCTATAGACTCACTCAGAGAAAGAGAAAGGAGAAGTGTAGGGAGGGCATCCAAAAGAATATTTGGCAATAAACACATTTAAGAGAGTGGTTGTAAGTGATTGCCAAGGTCAAGAGTCCAGACTGATAGGCTTTGGGTGACAGGGTATAAAAATCAACTAAAAATGTTTTTCTCTCTTAAAAGAAACTTGACATCAAAAATAGCATCCTAGCATCCTGTCAGTAGACGTTTATGGAAATCATGAAAAGCCCATATCCATGCTTAATAACTTTTGTTTTCCATTGTGTGCCTATTGGCTACTCTTTCTTGTGTAGCCCAGAAGGAAGCTTCCCTTCTCTCCTGGCATGGGGAGCTCCTCACACGGTGCAAGAGCCAGGGATCCTGGGTGCTCATTTTCTTTGTTAAGAGAAGAGAGTGAAGAGAAAAACCTGCTCTTTTCCTGATTTTCCAACCTAAGGAAAGCAGGGGTGACATATGGTGAGAAGGCAGTTTCAAATGCTATTTTCTTAGGATGCTGTTATTCTCTTTGTACATGTGGACTCATAGACACACACACACAAACAATAGGAGAACGAGTATCTATGCTTTCTCCAACTCACTTCTTTTCTGAAGGAGATACCAATACATCCTCAAAAGAGTTTTGTTATTTAAGAAGCAACCACAATACCCACAACAAAAGCAAAATCGTTTTCATGCCTGCCCACATCTATGCTCAGTCTTGTGCTTACATTTGTGTATCTGAAGGTAAATAAATTTATTAATTGAAACACTTACCATGCACTGTTCTAGGTGCTGTAGATAAAAATATAAATGAGACTATCTCCTCTCCGTATTTGAAAAAAGATATTAGATTTATACACAAATAAGTATAATAAGACAGAGTTTGGTAAATGCCATAAGAGGGTAAAAAATAAGGAGTTCAGAGAAGATTAGTTTACTTCTGGCGAGTAGTAAAAAGTGAGGGGCAAAGAATACTCCATAGCGTAGGTAGCATTTGAACTGAGCCTTAAAAGGTTTGGACGTGGAAGGATGGAGAGGAAGGAGATTCCGTGAAGTAGAAACAGTGCAAGCAGACGTGGAAAAGAGATGCCACTGGCTATTGTTGGGGAAATACTAGTATTCAGTTTTTCTCTAGTGGACATTCTTGAAAGGGAGTAAGTATGACAATAAGAGCAGAACAGTAAATTGGGATGAGGTTAGTAGACAATGAGTTAGTCAGTAGAAATTTTTGAGCAGAATAGTAATGTGAACAGAGATTTCTTTTAAGAAGATTAATTGGGCAGTAGGGTATAGATTCAATTGTAAGAAAAGGATATAAGAAGCAGTGAAAATATTTTAGGTGTCCATTTCCATAGAGGCAATGAAGACCAAAACTAGGGTAGTGGCAATTAATGGCAGTAGCATTCAGTGTTGAAGAGGGATAAACGTGAGAGATATTATAGAAATAGAACTGGTGGAATTTCATTAACTGATTGGAGGTGGGAGAGGGATGCCAGGAGAAAGAACAGGTTTGGTGAGTGAGGATGAGGTGGAACATCCGGGAGACGAAAGCCGATATGCAGTCATAATGCATATTGGAGCTTGAGTGACAGGTTAAGATTACGGAGTTTGAGGAGCTGTCTGTATCTAGCTAATATTAACACCATTGGGCTTGCTAAGGGAGAATCTGGAGAAAGAGAAGAGAGTAAAAGATATACCCTGGGGGAAATGCCTACATTCAGGAAAGAGTGTAGAGTGAAGTAAACAAAAGACAAAAGAGAAGCCAAATAAGAAAGAAGCCAAAAAAGCAAGGGAAAAAGAACGAGAAAATACTGGTTAGAGAAGCCCAGTAAGTTTCAAGAGGATAGGAGTGACGGAGAAGCCCAGGAAGGTTAGAGAGTACAGGAGTGATAAACAGCCTGAAATGTTAAAACAAGTTCAAAGTGAACAAGAATTTAGAAAAGACAACTGCAATTTGTTAACAAAGAGATCATTATCAGTGATCTTGGGAGAGAGGAATTTCAATAGGATAAAAGACTACTTATACTACATTTTATTGTACTCAGCACAATCTGCTCTTATTAAAGCTAGTTGAACATGAACAATGTGAAGCACGTATTTATGTCTTAATTCATCTCTTTATCTCCCATCTTCTTTGGACAAAAAGAAAGTACTCGATAAACATTTATTGAATTAAATTCGATCAGATTAAATTGAATTGAATTGGGTTCTATTGCATTGCATTATATTACTCTGCCCTAAAGAGTGATAATGAAGAGTGAGAAAGGAAGGCAACAATTATAGATGATTCTTTTTAAAATTTGGAGATACTGGTAATAAGACAAAGAAGATAGGACAAGAAGGGTTAACAATAGTTTTGTTTGTTTGTTTAAGGCTATCAGAGATTTGCACCTGCTTCTAGGTACAGGAAAAGACTGTCTCTCAAGGAGAATTTGAAAGCAAGAGAGGGGAATATTAAGGGTATAAAGACCCTAGGGAGAGTGATCCAGGTGATGGGGATACATAGGTGAAACTTCATCAAGCTGTACACTTAAGACTTTTGGATTTGTATACTTTGCTTTATGTAAGTTGCACCTCAATAAAAATAAATTAAAAAATACCTCAAAAAGGATTGAGATTGAGGGCACAAGGGGAAGTTTTTAAATTTCCTCTGAAACAGGCAGGAAGCTATTGTTCACCAAATCCCAGAACTACACATCCTCAATTTTAAAGAAAGTCATTTAAAAAATAAATGAAAGTACTTGTCATGTATGTGAGTCTTTTATTCTATAACTGAAAAAGACCATGGCTTATACTTTTTATATACGGTCCTTGCCAGAGCAATTAGGCAAGAAAAAGAAATAAAAGGGGTCTAAATTGGAAAGGAAGAAGTAAAACTGTCACTATTTATGGACGACATGATTTTATATATATAGAAAACTCTAAAGAATCCACCAAAAAAACTATCAGAAATAATAAAAAAATACAGTAAAGTTGCAGAGTATAAAATCAACAAGCAAAAATCAGTCACATTTGTGTACTCTAATAGTGAAATAGCAGAAAGAGAAATCAAGAATATGACTCCACTTACAATCACAACAAAAGAGTAAAATACCTAGGAATAAACTTAACCAAAGAAGTAAAAGATCTGTATGTTGAAAACAATAAGACATTGTTGAAAGAAATAGAAGAAGTCACAAAGAAATGGAAATATATTCTATGCTCATCAATTTCAAGAATTAACATAGTTATAATGTCCATATTACCTAAAGCAATTTATAAATTCAATGCAACCCCTATCGAAATCCCAGTGACATTTTTCATGGAAATAGAACAAAGAATCCTAAATTTTGTGTGGAACAACAAAAGACCCCAAATAGCCAAAGCAATCCTGAGAAAAAAGAACAAAGCTGGAGGCATCACAATCCCTGACTTCAAAATATACTACAAGCTGTAGTGATCAAAACAACATGGTACTGACACAAAAACAGACACAGAGATCAATGGAACAGAATTGAGAGCCCAGAAATAAATGCACACATCTACGGATAGCTCATTTTTCACAAAGGAATCAAGAACATACACTAGAGGAAGGAAAGTCTCTTCAGTAAATGATGCTGGGATAACTGGACAGCCAATGCAAAAGAATGAAAGTAGACCGTTATCTTACACTATTCACAAAAATTAACTCAAAATGGATTAAAGACTTGAATGTAGGACTTGAAACCATAAAACCCCTAGAAGAAAACACAGGCAGTATGCTCTTTGACATCAGTCTTAGCAGTATCCTTTTGAATGTGTCTCCTCAAGCAAGGGAAACAAATGGTATTACATTAAACTAAAAAGCATAGTACAGCAAAGGAAATCATCAGCAAAACAAAAAGACAACCTGCCAATTGGGAGAAGATATCTGAAAATCATATATATGATAAGGGGTTAATATCTAATATATATAAAGAACTCATACAACTCAACAACAAAAAAACAAACAACTCCATTAAAAACAGGGAAGAGGATCTAAACAGACATTTTTCCAAAAAAGATATACAGACAGTCAATAGGTACATGAAAAGATGTTCAATATCAGTAATTATTAGGGAAATGCAAATCAAAACCACAATGAGGTATCACTTCACACCCATCAGAATGGCTATTATTGAAAAGATAAGAAATAACAAATGTTGGAGAGGATGTGGATAAAAGGGAACACTTGTACACTGCTCATGGGAATGTAAATTGGTACAGCCTCTATGGAAAATAGTAAGGAGATTTCTCAAAAAATTAAAAATAGAAGTACCATATGATCTGGCAATTCCACTTCTGGGTATTTATCCAAAGAACACAAAAACACTAATTCAAAAAGATATATGCACCCCTATGTTCATTGCAGCATTATTCATACCAAGACTTGGAAACAACCTAAGTGCTTATTGATGGATGAATGGATAAAGATAATACACACACACACACACACACACACACACACACACACACACACACACACACACTGGAATACTATTTACCCATAAAAAAGATGAAATCTTGCCATTTGCAACAACCTGCATGGACCTTGAGGGTATTATGCTAAGGGAAATAAGTCATACAGAGAAAGCCAAATACTACGTAATTTCATTCATATGTGGAAAATAAACAAACACATAGATACAGAAAACAGATTGGTGGTTACCGGGGGAAAGGAGGATGAGGGGAGAGCAAAAGGGGTAAAGGGGCACATGTGTATGGTGACAGATGGCAGCTAGGCTTTTGCTGGGGAACACGGTGTAGGCTATACAGAAGGCGAAATATAATGATGTACTCCTGAAATTTATACAATATTATAAATCAATGTCGCCTCAATAAATAAATTCAAACTAAAAAAAAAGCCAAGCAGTAAAGAAAACTTTTTAGCTTTGTTCAGTCGAGCATTTCCCAAACTTATTTGACCATGAGAGCTTTATCTTTCTACATAACATTCATTATATCCTATATAACTGATTTTCAACAGAATGCACTCTGAGAAATGCTAGTTTAGACAAATTCATAGATGACAAGTCCGTAGAAAATAATTGGGTGATGAATATCCAAGATCCATCTCTGGCCTCTAAGAATAATGTTATAGGGGACAACTATAACATTATCCCATAAATGTCTCTTGGTGTTATTTTCAGAGACTTAAAAGATACTGAACTGGATAGACCATTAATCTAACTCATGAAAATATTTATGATATTCTTAAGAAGGAAACCAGAGAAAGAGGTTAGAGAAATGAAACAGAGATGGTAAAAGAGCTGAAAAGGGAAACTCAAGAAGATACTTAAGGAGTTGGGATGACTCAGTCTGGAGAAGAGATGGACAATATATCAAACAACTACACTGAGGTCTCTAAAATTATAATCTTCTGGTGGGTAGCAATATATTGCCCCTGAGATTAGAACAAGAATTGGTCTTAAATTACAGAATGGAAGATTAAAATTAGATTTAAGGGGAAAAACCCCCAAAACTCCTGACTTAAAAGGATGTAAAAATATAGGAAAAATTGACGATGAAGAGACATAACCTTTCTGTGTTGTCAGTCTTAGAGAGATTCTTATTTGCCATGGATGAGTAAGTATGTTCTTTCTTGGAAGCAAGAGGCTAGAAGTGATAACCTCTGCACAATTACTCTGTGAAACTTCTGCGTATATGACCTCCCATCTTCCTTACTTGAATCTTCCCAACCATGAGTCAGCAATGGTTGCTCCCAGGATAGGAGTGAAATAACAGAGGCTGCTGAAGGCATGGTATACGGATGTGGAGGTGTCTGCATTCCAGTGCAGGAAATACAGGAAATACAGGGTCAGCACAGCTGAGGAGAAAAAAGGAGACAAAATAAGACGATGCATGAAAATGACTTATGGAGGAGAAGTATATTTGATGTCTGGTCTTTCAAGGTGATCTTGACCTTCAACTCTCCTATCAGCAAAGTGACTGAGGGGTGGCTGCCGGGCAGTAGAAGCAGGGCCCATGGGAATTGTGGGAGTGAATTGGGCTATGCTTAATGTACAAATGCAATACTCTTCCCTTAGGCTATGTGTACCCATAGCATCATTTAGCCCAATCATGAAGATAACATGGTGCTTCCAATATCCCTTCCTTCTCTTTCCCATCAACAATATAGTTCATAGACCTGAGGAAGAGATATGAAGAATGGAACTCAAGTGATGAGAGTTTTCCCACTTATATTCTCACAGGCTGTGTTCTGGTTTCTGGTAGGCCTTTCTGCTCTTGGCCTGTATGAGTTACTAGGTGAAATCCCATGAGGCATTTATTGGCAGTCTTGGCCAAAGGAAAGGATCAATTTGAATGAAGGCAGAAAGAGTGAGTAAGGGAAGTAAGTGTAAACAGGTTGTTACAAACACAGGATGAGGGTGAGTGGAGAAGAGTAGGACTCTGGGATACAAAATTACCTTTCATGCCATAATAGGAAAAGCGCTCACAGAATTCATTCACCACAATGAAGGCAATGCTCAGGGGATAGTTGGAGCCACAGATTTTCTGTGAAACAAAAATGTTCAAGCGTGAGCTCTTTTCCCTTATTTAAACTAGTAGATCACTCCACAACAGAAAAAAACCATTCACTTTAAATTACGATGATAAATAATGTGAAGCAATGGCACCTATTTGTCATGAAACAGCTATGATCACACTAAAAGTGCTTGCAATGCTGATTTAGGAATAATAGAAGCTATTTTTAATATTACTTTGTTCCTCATTTGTTTAACATGGAACTGCTCAGACATTCCTTGATTGGAGACACCAGGACCTCCTCATCTTCCTACAACTACTAAATGAAAAGCCTGGGGCTCTGGGTAGAATAGGCATACTTATTTCTGGGAACAGAACAAAGAGTTGGCCTCTGGAGGATTTGATATCCAAGCAGTCACATTCAGATGCCAGCATCCTGCTTAGCTTCACCGTGTGGGACTAACCTCTCTTGTCCCCATCTGCCCTGTTCACCATGCTGGGAAGAATCCTGGCAATATGAAGGCTTCCCATTCAGAGGCTGCTGGAGCCAGGCACAGAGCCTGGTACAGACTCCTAAAGGGAAGCTAATTGATCACCTTGACCTTGGGCAGAGAGTTCTTAAATCTTGTAAAATTAAATGTCCACTGCTCCTATGAAAGAGATTCTATAACATTTTCATGCTAATTCTCTTGGACATTAAAAGGACAATGCTATTTCATGAACAATATCAGTCAGAATATAAGGAATATCATATTTTATTTCAAATCTCTACCCATTACGATAGCCCAGCTAACATGAAAGAGAGAGAGAGAGATGTCTGTCCTGGGACAGTCAAGTCTTATCATGAGATTTTTATTGCCTCTCATTCAAAAGAAGTATATACATCTTTGTAAGCTGTCTTAAATTCTTCAGGACCAGAAGAGATATAAATAAACAGACAGACAAAGAAATAGAGTAATAAATTAATGTATTCATTCTTTTACCAGTATGGATATATATAAACAACCTTCCTAAATATTAATATATGTTAATGTGTTAAAAACTTGCTTGAAAGACACAATTAACTGGGCTTTTTACCTTCCCAGCTCACAGCTTGAGAATTATGCAACCTGGAGTTTAGTTAACACACTTTGACTAGTTATGTAACAGTATCACTGGCTGTGTTAACATACTGACCCGAGCCATGTCACTACACCTGTCTTTATGCTTCAGTTCTGTTATTCCAAAGAAACTACTCTCTCCAGAATATTACCACCTCTTTGCCCATAGGAAGAAGTCAGTAAAGACTGGCCATTACTACTATATCCTCTCCACTTACAGGATTTTGACATGAAGATTGAATGAGATAAGGAATTTGCAAGTGTTTTAACAAGTATATAATATAAAACATTATTATTACTTTGTTTCTCTGTCCTGTCTCCTACTGTAAACTAGACACATAGTAGCAGAGACTGCATCTATTCTAAAACTTCTCTTGGTGTCCAGCAAAGACTCTGCACACAGGGAGAACTAAGGGCTGAGTTTTTAGATTGGTAAAGAAGGAACAATCGCACACAGTTCTCCAGACAGGAGTGCTTGCCAAGTTTCCCTGGACATTCAAATTGCTTTTTCTTTTACCCCAGAGAATCTCAGAATATACAATGAAATGCAGCAAAGTCCTGGATCCCAGTGGAAGAATTCTGCCTCCTCCTGTTGCTTCCTCTCCTAAGCAAAGGAAACTTCTATTCAGATGTGGTTATCAGGTTAATCCTAACTCCAAGCAAGAATAGTTTTTAACACCCTTATACGGAACAGCTTGAAGCTCCAGAGGCCAAGCAGGGGAACCCAAAGAGCAAGTCTGTTACTGTCAGAGGCAGAACTGAACCTGAGGACTCACCGGAGGTGGTTTCTTTGGAAGGCTGGGGGGTCGAGGTGGTACCTCTTCAGTGGAGACAGGTGAAAAAAGAGTTTCCTTGGACTCATTTTTCTGGAAGGGATTCATGGCTGGCTCCTTACTCTCTCTCCTCAAGCATTTGGCTTCGGTAGGCAGTTGGGACAGCTGCCAGCCTACTGTGAAAAGGGGGACTGGGAGGGGAAGAGGGGGTGGCTTCAGCAATTAGGTTTAACCCTGTGGGTGTCAGGCTTCAGCAACTGCCTAGCCCAGAGCAAAGCAGAAAGCTATAGGAAAAGAAAGGGTTGGGTCTTAGAGACTAGTTCAAAAGAAGGATTATGTAAAAGGTAGAGCATGGGGAAGTGAGAACGACACATCACAAGATGGGACCACACAATGCTGGACGACTGCAAATGAACAGAGACCATTTAAGAATATAATGCCTGGAGAATAGATTAAAAAATTAATTTCAGGGTAACAGTTGTAGCCAATTATTCAACACCTATTATGGGCAAGTTAATATATATGCATTACATATATATTATATCTCTGTATAGATATACGTGTGTGTGTATATATATATGTGTGTGTGTATATATGTTCTAATTCTTCCTACTATCCCCATTTTACAGGAACTAATGTCCCAAGCGGTTAAGTAAATTGTCCAAAGTCACATGGCCAGAAAATGGCAGACCTGGAATTTTTGCTATGCTGTAACAGATGGGAGAGATTAGTATCAGTAACGCCTATGGTCATTATTCAGGTATGGAGGCTATGGCAAGAGAAATGCAGGAATGTAGGGGAATTGAAATGCATAGAAGAGGGAAAGTCATCACAAAATTTAATTTGGAGAGATAGAAAAGATGTTAATTTTGGTTTTCAACATAATAAAGTTCAGCTAGAAATACGTTATAAGCAATTAAGGGGTTGGGGTAAAGAAAATGAGAGAAAGAGTTGGTGATGTACATTCGAGAATCATTCTTCTCCTTTGATAAATTCATTCCCTGTGTTTTCACTTTCTCACTTCAAGATGAATCCATCATTTCATTAATAAATAAAATTTAACTTGAACAAAAATTATGAGCCAGTTACTTTCTAGGTACTATTGAAAACATCCATTTCCTTAGTTTTCAGTGGATACACTCCCAAGTGACTCCAGAAGTATACCTAGCCTTTGTCAGAGGAGGAACGAGAATACGCATGACGACGACAGATGCATTTTATACAGTACTGTTTTCTCTGAGACAAAGAGGCAAAAGAAGAACACAAGAGCATGGTGCCCTTCTAGTTGTCAGTCAGAAGAAACAGGAAAAGGATGGCCAGAGAACTGTAGAAAAATGAGGACTAAAACAGGGAAGCCAGAAAACAGGAGAACGAATTATTTTATTTGAGAATATGAGAGAGAATGTACGACTCTATCCCTCACAAAATTCTTACATTACCTATTTGAGTAATTTATTGACAAATAAGGCCAGCATAAACTCGACCCTTTCTTCCCTAAACTCTCCCTCAGACTTTGACCATGTCTTCTCAGCTTCTGTTACACTCCTCAGCCCCCCTCTCTCCCACCAACCTTTATCCAGAGAAGAGTCCAGCTTCATTCCTGGCTGTGACATTAATGATTAAGCAGTAGTTATTCTTTCAGGAGGTAGTGTCCTTTCTGATCCGGTTTGGTTAGCGACTCTGGATGCAAAACAAATGAACAGTCAAAAGTTACTAGTCAAGTTAACCACTAGAGGCACAGATGGCTTGAAGATCTAAATGTTTTTGGGTTTTTTTGAGGAAGATTAGCTCTGAGCTAACTACTGCCAATCCTCCTCTTTTTGTTGAGGAAGATTGGCTCTCAGCTAACATCCATGCCCATCTTCCTTTACGTTATACATGGGACGCCTACCACAGCATGGCTTTTGCCAAGAGGTGCCATGTCCGCATCTGGAATCTGAACCGGCAAACCCTGGGCTGCCGGGAAGTGGAACTTGTGAACTTAACCACTGTGCCACCAGGCCAGCCCCTGGCTTGAAGATCTAATTGTCAGTGGCTACCCTTACTCTGGCCTCGTACCTGTAGGATAGCATTTGATCTGGCAGAGCAGATGGAATAGCAGCTGCATGCAATGCACCAGTTCATTTGTGCTCATAGGCACCCCAAATACTGAACTTTAGCATATTGGCATTGGTTCTCTGATACTCTTTTGTTTAGATGAAACTCTTCTTCTTTTTTTGTGTGTGAGGAAGATTGGCCCTATGCTAACATCTGTTGCCAATCCTCCTCTTTTCGCCTGAGGAAAGTTGCCACTGAGCTAACATCTGTGTCAATCTTCCTCTGGGATGACATACATACATACGTATATACATATGTGTATATATATATATATATAAATAAATTTCCAGAGCAATTCACACACACACATAAATTTACAGGCCTTTCCCTTGAAAATGCTTATTCAATAGATCTAAGTAGGGATCTAAGAACCTGTGTTTTTAACAAGCACTTCTGGTGGTTCTTATGACAGGGTTTGAAACTGGTTTGAAATCCCTCTCCTAGTCTAGTCTGAAGAATATTACGGAAGCTCTCAGAAGGGACAGAGCAAGGACAAGAACCCGGACTCCCAAGGCCTATTCTAGAACCCTTTCTATCACATAAAGATGCCTCTTATACTTTACCATTTTTGCTAAGTTGAAATCAGATAAAAAGATGAAAGGGAAAAGATGGAAGAGCAACTCCTAGATAGAAATGAGCACAAACTCTTCAGAGACAAAATAGATGATAAAAGTGGAAGAATCTAAAATATCAGTGTATGAGTAAAAAGTATTTGTGTCTTCAGTGATTATGACAGCAGAAATTGATATTTTACAGTCATATACAGAAAGGAGACTGAAGTTCTAAAATGATATATACAAATAGATAAAAAAAATCAGAGAGAAGAGGTAAATATGAAATTAAAAGAGAACGTGTTTAGTAAGGTGTATAAACATAAAATCAGCACACAGAAATAAATTGTATTTAAATATCAGCAAAAACAAATAGAAAAGGGAATTTTAAAAATGATACCAACTATAATTGCATAAAAAATACCTAGGAATAAGTCTACTGAAAGATGTTTAAGACCTCAACACTAAACACCATAAACGTTATTAAAAGAAATTAAAGAATATCTAAATAAATAGAGAGACATACCAAGATCATGATTTGGAAAGCTCATAATGTAAAGGTGTCAATGTTCCCTAAATCAACCTGTGCTTCAAAACAAAATCCCAGCTGGTTTTGTCAGTGTAGAAAATGATAAGTTGATTTTTAAAATTCATATGGAAATGCCAAAAGCCAAGCATAACAAAGGCAGTCTTGAAGAACAACAGTGGAGAACTTGCACTACCCAATGTAAGACCTATTATAAAGCCATAAAAATTATAACAGAGTGGAATCAACCTAAAGACAGATAAGACAACCAATGGAACAGAACAGAGTACAGGAAAAGATCCACACACGCTGAGGCATCTTTTGTGACAAAGGTGACACTGCAGTGCAGTGGGGGAAATGATGGTATTTTCAATAAATAAACACCATCTGGATATCCATACGGAAAAAAATTTATTTTAGCCCTCTTCTTACACCACACATAAAATTCAAGTCTACATAGATTGCAGATGTGTTAAAGTTAAAAAAAAAATAAAGCTTTTAGAGGGAAACATAGAATATCTTTATGACTGTGGAGTAAGCCATAATTTCTAAAATGAGACATAAAATATGGTAACCATAAAAGAAAAACAATTGATATGTTGGACAATATTAAAATTAATAACTTTTGTTCACCAAAAGACACCATTAAGAATGAAAAGAGGGGCCGGCCTGGTGGTGCAGCGCGGTTAAGTTCCCACGTTCCACTTTGGTGGACCAGGGTTCGCTGGTTCGGATCCCGGGTGTGGACACGGCACTGCTTGTCAAGCCATGCTGTGGCAGGAGTCCCACATATAAAGTAAAGGAAGATGGGCACAATGTTAGCTCAGGGCCAGTCTTCCTAAGCAAAAAGAGGAGAATTGGTGGCAGATGTTAGCTCAGGGTTAATCTTCCAAAAAAAAAAAAAAAAAAAAGAATGGAAAAACTCACAGAGTGGGAGAAAATATTCATATTATAGCTATCTGTCAAAGGATTTGTGTCCAGACTTTATCAATAACTCCAAAAATCAGTAACAAGAAGATGCATATTCAGGTTGTTTTGAGTCTTTTGCTGTTATAAATAATACTGCAATAATCATCTTGCATATAAGTGACATGTATCTGTAGGATAAATTTCCAGAAGTGAGATTGTTGAGACAAAAGTATATGTATTTATAATTTGAGGAGCTGCCTGTTCATTTCCTTTGCCCATTTTTCTGTTGAATTGTTTGTCACCTTCTCATAAGTTTGTAAGAGCTATTTATATATTATTGATATTAATGCTCTGCCATCCTCTATGTTGCAAATATTTTTTCTGTTGATTTTGTTTGTGGACTTTTAAAATTAAACTTAAAATGCACAATCTTAAAAACTCCATTTTTTTTACATATACGTAACTCACACAACCACCACCCAAATAAGATAAAAAGTATGTATACACGTTTCTGGCACCGCAGTGCTGGAAGTCCTTCAGAGAGTAATACTCACCGCTTCCCTTCTGCCTCCCAGTCAAACCCTCCTCCCCCAAGGTAGTTACTCTTCTACCTTCTGTCACCATAGCTTTGTTTTGCCTGTTTTGAATTTCACATAAATGGAATAAAACTATTTATATTCTGTGTTTGACTTCTGTTACTCAACACTACATCTGTGGGATTCATGTGTGTTATTGCCTGTAACAAGGTTTTTTTTCCCCCCGTTTGTTTTGTAGGATTTACTGTACAAATATGCCACAATCTGTTTCCTCATTCTTTTGTTGATGGACATTTGGGTTGTTTCCAATTTCAGGGTTAGCTATTGTCAACTTAGTTTAAGCTAGGAACTATGCTTCCCAGGATCACCTTCTCTGTATGGTTGTAGGCCAGAAAACCTTGAGAGAGATTTGGGAGGTCGAAGTGAAGCAGGAGGTATTACTCTGAGTGGTCAAAGACTGGACAGAGATCGTGGTCAAATGCCTTGAGCCAATGAGGCTTTCTCCTTTGCTGATGGGTCGGTATGTGTAGGGGAGTCCATTCAAACCTCAGGCTGTTTTCAAATCTTCCCAGATTTAATCTTTATCAGGCCTTTTTCAGTGTCCTGTGCAAATGCATGTGGCCTCAGGGTTGATGAGGAATGTGTTATGCTTGGGGCAACTCTGGTCTCAGCTGCACATGTACACAGCCTCAGCCCAAAATAGCATTGCTCCAACTAGTATTGCACCTTCAGGCTAGAAACACTATATTCTTGGCCCTCCCCCATTGGCCAGTATTTTCCATTCTTTTTTTTAATTATTGCAGTAACATTGGTTTATAACATTATATAAGCTTCAGGTGTACATCATTATATTTTGATTTCTGTGTAGATTACATCATGTTCACCACCAAAGACTGATTACAATCCATCACCACACACATGTGCCTAAACACCCTTTTCGACCTCCTCCCTCCCCCATTCCCCTCTGTTAACCACCAATCCAATCTCTGTCTTTATGTCATTGTTGTTGCTTATATCTTCTACTTATTAGTGAGATCATACGGTATTTGACCTTCTCCCTCTGCCTTATTTCACTTAGCATAATGCCCTCAAGGTCCATCCATGTTGACACAAATGGCTGGATTTCATCGTTTCTTATGGCTGAGTCATATTCCATTGTGTATACATACCACATTTTCTTTATCCATTTGTCCATTGATGGGCACCTAGGTTATTTCCACATCTTGGCTATTGTGAATAATGCTGCAATGAACATAGGGGTGCATATATCTTTATGCACTCGTGTTTTCATGTTCTTTGGATAAGTACCCAGCAGTGGAATAGCTGGATCATATGGTAGATCTATTCTTAACTTTGTGAGGAATCTCCATACTGTTTCCCACAGTGGCTGCACCAGTTTGCACTCCCACCAGCAGTGTATGGGGGTTCCCTTCTCTCCACATCCTTTCCAATGCTTCTTGTTTCCTGCCTTGTTAATTACAGCCATTCTGACCTGAGTGAGATGATATCTCATTGTAGTTTTGATTTGCATTTCCCTGATAGTTAATGATGCTGAGCATCTTTTCATATGCCTGTTGGCCATCGTTATATCTTCTCTGGAGAAATGTCTGTTCAGATCTTTTGCCCAGTTTTTAATTGGGTTGTTAGTTTTTTGGTTGTTGAGATGCATGAGTTCTTTATATATTTTGGATATTAACCCCTTATTAGATACATGGTTTGCAAATATCTTCTCCCAATTGTTATGTTGTCATTTCATTTTATTGATCGTTTCCTTTGCTGTGCAGAAGCTTTTTAGTTTGATGTAATTCCATTTGTTTATTTTTTCTATTGTTTCCCTTGCCTGGTCAGACATAGTACTTGAAAATATGCTGCTAAGAATGATGTTGAAGAGCGTACTGCCTATGTTTTCTTCTAGAAGTTTCATGGTTTCAGGTCTTCCATTCAAGTCTTTAATCCATTTTAAGTTAATTTTTGCATACAGTGTAAGATAATGGTCTACTTTCATTCTTTTGCATGTATGTGGCTGTCCAGTTTTCC